TTTATTGTCACAGCGATTGAATCCCAGACTTAGCTCAAATCTCTCGATTGATTTTCGCAAACGCCTCACCCACAGATAAATAGTTCGGTGTTTTAGCTAACCCAAAGTTATTTATATCCGTATAATCGACTTAACCCCAAAATGTGGGCATTAGTTCGCCCGTACGGGACCCGCCCTGTTTCATTACAATTTAAACCAAATCGTGACTAGAATTCACCGCCGGTACATTACGTAATCTATATTTTTAGGGTTGACATTAATTGAAGGCTGTTTTATTCGAAAATTATATGCCATGCGCCATTTGGCCTCTCAAGGTAAAAAGTTTAGGTTTCACTCAATAATCCTTGAACAGAATTTTCGGTTAAAATTTAGAAAACAGTTGACGATGTTAAGCAATTAACAAAAGAAATTTGACTTAACATACCACGACGGGATCGAGCTATTAACACGTGTTTTGAACTTTTAATACACACAAGTAGTACTTTTTATAAGCGAAAAATATACCATAATATTTCTTTTGCACGACTTTAAATCGAACTCAAACCTCAGCCCAAAGAAGGCTTTTTCTAATTAAACTCTATGCTTATGAAATAGAATCTTTACGAGTATCTATACTTATATTATAAAGGTGAAGAGTTGTTTGTTTGTTTTAACGCCCTTGTCTAACGAACTACTGGTTTGATTAGAATTGAATAATTATTTTTGTATTGGATAGACCATTAAGAAGACTTTAGATATTTATGTAGTTCGGTTTCGCTGCGAAAACAGTGTAAGAAATCAAAAAATATGTATGAAAGAGCAATTCCTCTATTAATTATTAAAAACAATGTCAGCGACAGTATATTTTTTTATAAGTTTACCTTTCAAGATTAACTCGCAAGAACCTTTTGTTGTAGAAATTTGGTAGAAATTAATGCACTATTACCAATTATTTGTTAGTTATATCAATGTTTATTGCGTTGGTATTTTAATCTTGCTAACAACAAAGCAACGCCGGATCAGTCAGTATATAAATAAAATATAAAAAGCGCTCTTATGACTTTCATATTATACGTATATGAAAAACCTCATTGCACTGTTTTAATTAAAAAAGATAACGTGAAAGCAGCTATTAATTTCGAGTGGATCGTAAATAGGCCCACGTCAAGCCTACCGGAAGTTTCTCTGTCGGGGGAAATTGGTATACGCTACATGCCCGTATCGTTTTGTTATTTCGCTTTCGAACGGAACATAACGTCCTTTATATCGCTTTTATGGTTAGATACGTGAAAGTTTTTTGTGGGCCACTCGTAATTGTCTTTCATACAGACATATTTTTATCGCTCTCTTTTGTTCCAATTGTGTATCGAAAGTATATGGGTAAAGAAGGGAGAAGAAGAAGTTGTCTAACATCATCTCTTTACTCTACTAATTACCTCAGGTACAAAAGGTCCGCCATTTTGATTAATTCGCTATCTTGTGTGATTCGCAATAATTAGATTTACCTTTAATTAATTTAAATACAACTGCTTGAACACAAGTTCGTTCTTTACTAGCATCTGTAACTATATTTTAGGTAAGTTGTATTGCATTTCTAAAATTGTAAATACATGGAATTTTTACGTAAATGACGTGACAGTTGTTATATACAATATACATTTAAATTATATACTTACATTTCAGGGGAAGGGGGTTTGATATCCAGAAGTAAAGATATAAGCCACAGGTTTTATATATTTTCTTACTTCCGTTCTTTAAAAAACGTTCTGAAATTTTAAAGTTATTATTAGGAATTATTTTTTTATTCACCATTACTTTTCTAAATAAAGTATCCATATTTATGTAAATGTGTATGTCTACAAATAGGTTACGAGTTCTGTGCAATAATTATGGCCTCGGAAAGGAATATAAGTATTTCTTTTGTTTGCGGAAAAATATGAGACGTAATACTCCGTCCCTTCTAAATCTTTCTCCTTTGTGGAATTAAGTATATAGGAAATGCCGAAAGGATTCAGAAGTATACAGGAAAAATGGAAGTGAATATTTCATCTTCGTTTGTATGAATGTAAAGAAAAACAAGATCGCATTATATAAATACTTTTGAGAATTAACTAGGGTGGTAAGATATTAAAACTTAGGAAAACGTAATAATATAATTTTTTATTTAAATTAAAATTTATTTTAAACGAAAGCTAACGCTTATCTTCTTTTGCTTGTCGGGATATGTAAAATACTTTGACATAAAATAACAAATTTCGACCATATATTATGGACATAGCCTTGCAAAGTTATTTCAGTGTATACCTTTTCAGTTACAAGATACATGCTGATCTACAAGCCACTAAATATGACACAAAAATACGAATTGCAAACACGACTTTCATACAAGTTTGAAACTTAACAGCGTACAAAAACCTACTTAACGTGAATAAGCTATTTATGTGTTGGCAAACGCTTTGAATGTAAGCTTTATATTGGTGTAAGTGTTCTCTGAAAAGCAATGAAAATTGTTTGAGTTTTAATAGGTAAAGCTTTTAAATGTATTAACGGAGTACATGGTATTTATAATGACATTTTGTATAACAGCTCTAGTATGTGAAAAATAGACTTGAGTGACGTAAGATACGATACGAAGAATTTGAAGCAATTCGATTATGTTAGAAAGATATTTGAAGACATTGCTATGCTACATTTAAAAAGCATGTCAATATTATTTATTATACGGAATATCAGATCAATATATTAATATTAAAATTGCAATATTGCTATTGAAAGATGGTCAGTATAGCAGACACTTCAATAAGCTGAATCAATGGCTATTTTTCGTATCCTGTCAAGTCACCTTCACATTCTAGGCTCTGTACTCTGACACTTGAAAGTAGCTTCTAGAAAGTTCTATCTGGCTTCCCTCTATCTATGATCTTATTACACAGATTTGCTTGCATTACTCTTGACTGTGTGTTGTATTTCTGGAATTGCATTCTTGAAACGTTAAATGCAATTCTGTATGTCTGTAACAACTGTTTTATGCGAAACTACTTAGGTTTTTAAGGGAGTTATTGACTCGACTGACCATCCACTTACGATGGCAGATACTTCACAAACCTAAGAAGCTTCACAAAGGCCGCAAAAGCCTCTTAAAATCTATATTACTGGTTTATGTGTGGACCAAAAAGGTAGATATGCTGCACAATTTTCTATCCGCTATGCACTCTCTTGCACTGTATGTTAACACAAAACACCGCTGGTATACCTTCGTAATTAACCCTTTACGTCAGACCTACGTCATATTGTTTCGTCTGGTTGAGAGGGATTTTAATTAAATTCTCATTCCCCTAATTAAAAGGTTAAATGTGAAATTAAAACAAGAATACCTTGATTCAATTTTTAAATCCAAATATTTCAAGAATCCCTACGTCTCTAGATGTCGAAGCGATTAGTATTTTCCACCTCCCTGCATCCAATTTGGTAGCGCGTAAGATTGTACAGAGTTTTTGATCGGTGTGGCATGTCCATCTTTGCGGTTGTTTACGCTATGTGCTTGGTGTATAGGACAAATATTTCTTCTTGCAGGCCCGGAGCGCTAGCACGAGTAGCTTTAGGAGTGTAAGTCAGGTAATGACGATGCTTCATCATGCCTGACCATACATGAATAATTTGTTTTTGATTTTTTTTCGCTGTCCAAAAGACCAGATGCATTTGTCTCATTATCATACAGTAGTACGCAGTAGAGTGTAGTGGCAGGTAAGTACAAGTAGAGAACGAACATTTCCCCTCGCTCTGAATCGGGGGCAGCAAATACATAAAATACACGGAAACAAGCGACAATCGTGTCGGACAAATTGTCGTCCTTTGACCTACAAACCTATTTTAATCCCCATTCCGTTAGAGCGGAGTAGAAACTATTGTTGTTCTGGAGAGGACTGAAGTTCTGATTGAGGGTTCGAACTACATATTATATAAAGTAACGACTGTAGTTCATAGTCCATATGACGCTGTAGACAAGATAAATTGTAAATAAGTGAAAGAAATTTTTGGTTTAAACCGTTAAAAGGGTTTTATTTATACATATGGTATATATTTAGATATGGATAAATATCACTTTGGTTAATTAATAATTTAATCTTACCCTAATTAACCCTCATTTTGTGGCAATAAAAATGGTTTTCTGAAAGTAGACTTAACGGTTGATATTTTGATATTTTCAATGGCTAACGAACTCAGTGGTTTAACAAACTTTCCGATTTAAATTACGTTTTCAAAACATTAACGAGTATAGTAACATCACAATCTTATATACATATACTATATATTAAATAAATGAATTTGAGATAGTTAAGATTTTGGGTAATGGGAAAAACTTTAATATTTTCCACATGATGGCACTATGTAATATAAAAATCGCAAATAAATTGAAAAAAAATTACGACTCGGGCAGCAATCAGGAGTTGAACGGGCATTGTCTGCGTTCCGTGCTATTGCTTTAACCACTCGGTAGCTTAATCGGTAGAGCAATAGCACGGAACGCTGACGATGCCGATTCCAGTCTTGCCCGAATGTAATTTCGATTTTTAAATTATATTATGGGAAATTGTTAAAAATATATAAGTATTAAATATTTCCAAATTAAGGAGACTAGATGTTCGAATTTTTTAATTAGAAAAATAAAATCTAGTTTTAAATTACGCCGTACTTCCAATCTGCATTCTGACAGAAGAATTAAGATTCCACATTAGAAAAACTAATTTAACTGCGCGACTGTTAGAAAGAAAGAAAATGGAAGCTCTTGCACCTGCAGGGAATTAAATTAAAAATTGCAGCCAGCTCTCCTGCCCGTAACAGCCTGAAAAAAGTTTAAATGAAACGTTTCCCATATTACTTTGAATACGGCCTTACGTGTGCCTTTTGTCTACGCGGTTGCGATACAGATTATAGAAGATAACAATGACAGTGGCAGTTAATACTCTCTGTGGGTAATGAAAGACTTTGAATTATGAAATATATTTTATTTATTTATTTTCTTAGTCGCCAGTCATCATTTCCATAAATTCTGAAATGAAAAATGGTAGTAAAAAAATATTATTAAAATATATTATATATACTACTTATATCCCTTCAAACATTTTAAAATTACTATTTAGATTAAATACTGTCTATAGTTTACGCGAGTAGTACACATTTAAAGTAGAAGTGAAAAATCATTTTCAAATAAGTTTAACATATCGGGTTTAAACCGTTAAAGTTTTTTATGACATAAGAGGACAGACAATCATAGGGTTCGCTTAATGGAAGGTGAAATACCCCAACCATGTTACTAAACAACTATGTGCTGTCAACATATATAATTTTATTTGGACATTCAGAAATTATCAAACAGAAAACGAAACGCGGATTCAAACTTTACGGTTACTTTATCTTTTCTGGTTTTAACCCATGACCCGTTAATTATTATGCATTGCGACCATTGGATCAACTAGCTCGTCTAACAAAAGGTTTTATAAATTAGATACGAAAAGAAACATTTGTGTGAATCGTTCCAGTATATAAATAATAAGTTAACAACAATCACCGAATGGAGAAACGGGCGAAATGATCAGTGTAATTTTGTGATTCATTCCCATCCAGTATCCCCAATAAAAACAAAATAAAGACTAGAATCCAAGATAATTAAATCCTCAAATTAGTGATGTCCGTTTGGACCTGTGAATTATGTTAGGCATTTTGATCAATGTTGTTTGTTGCGGGAGTAATAAATTTTGCCTCACCGTCAAAGTCTACGGTGCCAGAAGCGTCTGTATCAATCTCGGCGATCATTTCATTGAGTTGGTCAGGCGTGAGCTGGTCGTCCAACGCTGCTAAGATCTCTCGAAGGCTGGAGGTAGGAATGTAGCCGTTGCCTATAAATATAAATGCGAATCTAAGTTTAAAAAACAAAGACTTAATAGCGTCTGTAGTTTACGCAAGTATTACACATTTAAATTAAGCACGGTTTTGCCTTATTCAACACATTGGCAGACATTGTTCTGTGTACAATATGTAAGTCCTCAAAAAAGAATTTGTTTTTCATTCACCCTCACATCAGTACTTAAGATGAACTACAATATATTTAAACGAATGTGATGAAATTGGAACTGACGTAATCTGGCAAGGTGGAATATCGATATTATCGATTAGGATTAATGGATTTTGTCGATAAATTTGTTAGCACAAGTGCTGAAAATAAGTGTGGAAACATTAATTGTGTTAATGTAATGCACTGACGGATACACTATTTTGATACTTGTAAAACATAAGATAATTTTCACGGTACTGTGCAATGTAACTTAACTATGAAAAACCAAGTTCAAATCCTGGTTGAGCAACAAAAATAACGGTTTAAATCGCGAAATATATTAATTGAACTGATTTACAAATTATTTTGAGTACGGGCCTTCGTTTAGAATGCTTTGCAGCAGCTGTGGTCACGGGAATATTAAAAATAGAGAGTGATCCTAATGTCAAAATAAAAACTGCTGCCCTAGCGCCATCTGTCCCGTCGTATTTGGTATTTGGCAAAAGTCTCATTGAAATTATTCTATATCTATATCTATACTAATATATAAAGCTGAAGAGTTTGTTTGTTTGTTTGAACGCGCTAATCTCAGGAACTACGAGTTCGAATTAAAAAAAAATCTGTGCGTTGGTTAGAACACCTATCGAAGAAGGTTATAGGCGTATATACACGTTGCGATGTGACTAATAGGAGCGAAGATAAAGCGAGAAATGTGAACAAAACGGGGGAAATTCTTTATTCTGTAGGTTTCAGATGCGTACCTAAAACGGTTCAAGATACCTAAAAATAGTGTATAAAAGACTGATTCCCCTTTTAAAGATCTAAAAAAAGTCCGCGACGCTATATATCTATCTTTTAAGATTAACTTGCAAGAACGACCCGAACGACGGGACGCGTACGACGGGGTACGAATATCGTGGGTAACAGCTATCTACACTAATATTATAAAGGCTAAAGATTTGTATTTTTGTATGTAACTGATAAACTCAAAAATTACTGGACCGATTTTTTTAATTTTTTTTAGACAGTTACATTATATTGATTAAAAAGACGATATTATGAGAGAAATGTTTAGAAATTTCAATTAAAAGCAACGGGAGGTGTAAAAAAATTTGCCATAAAATGTCATTCATCGCATTCGCTGCGAAGTAAGTGTATTAATGATAGGACAAAAAAATATTCGACAATATTATAGAATATATCAATATCTACAAAAAACATCGCGAGACCATATGTCTAACTGTTGTAGACTCACTAAACTCTTTTTTACTTTTAAAAAATGATAGAAATTCAAAATCAAACCGTGTTATATATACCATATATAAATTTGTAGGAGTGTGAGTGAGAGTGAGTGTAAGAATGAGAGTGGGAGTTAGAGTTGGAGTGATGTGAGGTGAGAGTGTTGCGGCAAAGGAGCACTTACAACATAGATTGGCTGCCTTAAATGCGCCCTTACAAAAAATAATAAACAGCCTAAATAATAAAAACTCTACCCCAAGTCACTATTCCACGGGGACGAAGTCGCGGGCACAGCTACATTTACATTTATTACAAAATATATAAACTTTTCATTTTTTAAACCGTTACCAGTGATATTCAAATATGTATGTACTACTTGCGTAAACTATAGACGGTATATCTATACTGAACTACAATAGGTCAATATAATAACACAGCTACTAAATATGCGATATAACAATAATGTTTAATTAATATCCCGAAGTAGAATATTTCTACAGAATACCAAAAATAGCGCCGAAACCACAGGCTTTTATCCAAAGTAAAAATACATTGAAACATCTTTTAATCAAAGGCTGCGGTAGGCCATGATTGAAATACTTTCTTTACGAGATATCAAAGGTATTTTTAAAACTATTTTCAAGAAATATTCTTTGTTTTTACAACAGAAATCTTCCAAGGCCAATGTTACGTATAAATATTTGGAGCAAAGGTTGAAATATGCGTCCTCATTAGGGAGAAAGAGATGGATAGAGTTTCAACATTACATCTAACAGTAATACTTTATGCTTAAACAAACATGGCCTTTGTTTGATAAAGGTGTGAAGGCTTTGTCGCATGCCCCGAAAAGTAAACTATTAATTTATTTCCTTGGCCGTTCGCAAATCCACAGATTATAAAATTGACTTAAATTTCATTTCTAGATTTTTCTACTACTTTGCTCATTGTGATATTTCAATAACCGGTCATTAGAAATATAGTAGAGATCGAATAAAAAAAAAGGAGGATACGAATAGTTTTTACGGGTCGAAAGTACCAGGCCCTTAAAAATCTTATTAAGATGCGCTATAGGCCTTTTATTCTTAAATAATCCGATAAATCCATCCTTCACTATTATGCCTATGATAAAAATTTATGACGCGAGCAGGACTTGAACCGGCAACCACAGCGTTCCGTGCTGTTGCTCTAACTGATTGAGCCACTGTGTCCTATACGACATCGTCGAATATTTTTGCCCTATTAATACATGCACTTCTTGCGCAATATTCTAGATGGACACAGATTAAATCGAACACAAACACATTCTTTAAAAGCATGTTCTTCTGTATGAAACTAACGTTTTAAATAGAAACCATTGTACCTAATAATTTTTCGCCCACGCGGCCATATCTCGGAATATAATAGCGAGGTCTATTTCAACAAACCGCTGCCATTATAATTTATTAGAAGCAATATCTGTAAATCAACTTAAGTTTCAATCGTTCTGAGTTAAATGTTGGCTTTTATTGCTCGATCTCAATTGGCTATTGATAAGTTTCGTGTTTTATATATCAGAGTGTACCTACACTTTATATATAATTCGCTTTTAATTTATAATTTTAGGGAATGTCATATATTTTTAAAATTTTATTATCTGTTAACATATTTTATGCAATATTAACACAGACTATATTCAACTATTACATTTATATTTAAACATTATTTTTCTATTTACATCCTAACATAATTCATGTTGATTGGGAAAAAGGTTTTATATTTAAAGAAATTATAATTAAAAAATATATATATTATCATAACTTGAACTGTATTTTTTTTATGATAAAGAGAAGAGGAGCATATGATTCCCTTATGGTAGGTGAAATACCCCATCCATATAACATCGAAATAAAATGTTGACCTTTGCTTTGATATTGGGAAATCCATAGACAGGCCGAAACGATTAAACCACGGCTTTTTGGATTTGGGGGTTAAAATCACGACTAGTTGATTATTAGCTAACTTCAAGACAAAGTCAAAGTCAAAAATCATTTATTCATGTAGGTATGTAGGTATGAACGTCACAAAATCATTAAAGAATCTAACTTTACGTTTACTACCAGTTCTCAAATCAAGGGCGTAGAACGAACGAGAAGAACTGGCAATAAATTCGCCGTCACTCCTTTTATCGCCAAGTCTTATTTTACATTCTTGATTTACTTTTAGTGCACTACATATTTTTCCTCGTAAGAGCGGGTTCCTCCACACCCCAATCATTTTTATCATTTAAATATTGATTAACGTCATAATAACCCTTTTCATTGCTACCATAACACCAAAGGGCCCGTTGAAATGTAACATGATGTACTAATATAGTGGTATTGCGTTCCAATTTTGAATACCTTCTGTAAATATAAAGTTATTTGTAGTATGCTTATTACAAAAAACTTTTATGAGTATTTTATTGTGATTGATATTTTTATGTACACGTACTATTTGATCGTAAAAACAACATAAAAGACATAATACCTTCTTTGTCGTACAATCTGAACGCTTCCTTAAGCTCCTTTTGCAAGGCCTCGTCATCTTCGTCCAAGAAGTGGGTCGCCACGCGGACGAACGAATCGAAGTTCAGCTTTCCGGAACCTGGAATTACAGATAGTATTATTTGAAGATAATTATCGGGCTAGCGGGCTTCTAACACTGATATAACTTTTTTTATATTACTTTCAATTGAAAAAAGATTACGGCTTGCAAAGCATCCGAAATGTCGAATCGTAGTTTATCAACGAATATCGCGTTTTAAACGGTCAGAACGGTATAATGTGAATATATGTATATTTTTTTTCTTCCTAAATTTTCCCTAAGTTTTTTTTTCCGTTTGCCCTCTTTATTTTTTTTGTGGGCGCTCCAAGGGGTTTTTTTTTTTTTTCCTTTTTGGGCCTTTTTTTTTTTTCCTTCCCCTTTTTTTTCTTTTTTTTTTTTCCCCCTTTTTTCCCCTTTTTTTTTTTCCCTCTCTTTTTTTTTTTTTTTTTTTTTTTTTTTTTTTTTTTTTTTTTTTTTTTTTTTTTCCCCCCCCCCCCCTGGGGGGGGGTTTTTTTTTTTTTTTTTTTCCCCCCCCCCCCCTTTTTTTTTTTTTTTTCTTTTTTTTTTTTTTTTTTTTTTTTTTTTTTTTTTTTTTTTCCTTTTTTTTTTTTTTTTTTTTTTTTTCTTCTTCTTTTTTTTTTTCCCTTTCTTCCCCTTTCCCCCTTTTCTTTTTTTTTGTTTGGGGTTGTTTTTTTTTTTTTTTTTTTTTTTTTTTTTTTTTTTTTTTCCCCCCCTTTTTTTTTTTTTCCCCCCCCCCCCCCCCCCCCCCCCCCCCCCCCCCCCCCCCCCCCCCCCCCCCCCCCCCTTTTTTTTTTTTTTTTTTCCCCCCCCCCCCCCCTCTCTTTTTTTTTTTTTTTTTTTTTTTTTTTTTTTTTTTTTTTTTTTTCCTCTCCCCCCCCCCCCCCCCCCCCCTTCTTTTTTTTTTTTTTTTTCCCCCCCTCTCCCTTCCCTCTCCCCCCTCCTCCTTCCTCCCTCTCTTTTTTTTTTTTTTTTTTCCCCCCCCCCCCCCCCCCCCCCCTTTTTTTTCCCCCCCCCCCCCCCCCCCCCCCCCCCCCCCTTCTTTTTTTTTTTTTGACGCGTACGCTAAGAGGAGAGATGAAAAATTTCTCCCTTCATATTTTCCGCTGTATCTTCGCTTCTACTAGTCACAGCGCAATGTTTTATATCCTATAGCATTCCTCGATAAATGCTCTAACTAACACAAAAAGAACTTTTTAGTTTGAATCGAATAGTTCCTAAGATTAGCGCGTTCAAACAAACAAACTAACTCTTCAGCTTTATATATTAGTATAGATTAATATAACGCAATCATGTGCAAATAAAATGTACAAAATATCTCACGTAAAAGATTATATCATACATTAAAATTGTTATCTATATAATATGTATCTAGTATACACTTACAATCCATAGAGAGCGCAAAATTATTCACCGCTTTAATTTTGCAAATAACTCGGCAACCGGATTTCGTGAGCTTAATTTATACAAATGTCTTTGTTGTCGAAATAATAAGGATTTCGGTTCTAAGCAATTGTTGTGTTTGTAAGCAGAGTAAACTAAAGAGAAGTTATAATGTCGAACCTAATACGAGACATGTTATTCAAACTGTATAATTACAATATTATACTCGTAAAATTTAAGAGTCCTATACGTATTGGATTTTAAAATATTGTTCGCTCATTCGGGGTTTAAAAGATAAATACATGTGAAATAAACCAGTTTTAAACGTGAATATATCACTTTTAGTAGTGAAGTTAGATGGATATACAGATAATAAAAATGAATGTAATAGGATGAACAAAAAAATTACCTTGTGTCTATAAAAATTAAAAATCGATTACAAATTGAAAAAAGTTACAACTCGGCAGGCATTCACAGCTTAAGACATTGTACCTTAATTAGAAAGAAAAAGAAGAAAAAAGTATTAAGCTTGAAATAACATTGCGGGAGAGGCGCATGTATCTATAGGTTAAAAAAATTCTTCCAAAGTTAAATATTTCTGATTCTGTAGAATATATATTTAGAACTCAATATTGTATAAAAAAATCACGGCTAAAGAATGCGACACTCTCTATTATTGTCCCACTGCTGGGCATAGGCCACCTCTCTCATTGGAGAGAGGTTTTAATAGCTTTGGCACACAACGATGATGACTAACTTGATGAAATGAGTTTTCTCTTCTGGGTATGAGAAAACTTCAAGTATGTATTTCATCTTTAAGTTAAACGAACTCACTTTTCTACTTCATAAGTTTTAAGTTAACTGAAGTTTACTTGTTACGTTAAAAGCGTTGGTGATTTATTATCTCGTAATAATTAAGGATTCACAAAAACATTTTTTAAATAAATTTTCCTTAATCATCAATCACTTTTCATCTACTTGTACGAAAAATTATTGCATAGAGAATTTTGGAAAAATATATTTGGTTTTGGGACAACATGCCCTCTGTAGAAACCTCTTTGGGTTCTACAGAGAGCTTATTTTTAGTTAGACATAGTGCTGCCGGAAAAGACGTAAAAATTACATTACTAAGAATATTACGTCACAAAAATCTGTTGATTCTACTCAAACACAAAATTTAGACTGCTCTAGAACATAAAATAATGAAATGGACCTCTCAAAATCAGCAAGTTCACAAGAAGTTTCAAGGCAACTGAATATGACAGTCGGGTCTTATCATATATGATTAAACTGCGGGTAGTTTGAGAGGTGGAATCGTCGTGTAAAAAGTTATTACATGTGAGGGAACTAATATGTAGTTTACACGAGTAGTACGCGTATAAAAGACTTATTGGTTTAAAACGCGAAATATACTAAGTTTCTATGCAGCAGCTATGGTCCTCGTGACCATAAAACAAGTCAACTAATATATTTTGCGTTTCAAACCGTTAAAAAGGATTTATTTAAATATCTAATAATTTACATTTGTAATACTAAAAGGTTGGTCTCGTCTTGACATACATATTATTTATCATTAAGATATTTTATGAAATAGCACGTCTGTCTCATGTTATAGGGATAATTTAGACCGCAGAAAACGGATACAAAATAATAGCAGTAGATTTTCTGACTGAATAGTCATTGTACAAAAAATAAACAATTAATAAAAGCAATATCGGTTATTCATTTCATTAAGGTAATTGCAACATTATTATTAACGCAGTTATCCGACCGTGAAAATTTATTGAACTGAATATGCATTTTGTATGATTTTGTTAAGTTAAACGATATTTTATCACTTAACTATATTTTATGTAACCTGTAACATAACTACGTAAAGGGTTGGGACTTTACAAGTGGTATATTTGACTCTGCGGCTCGCTGGTCTAATAGTATGTATGGCTAATAATCAAAGGGTCAAAATCAAATAAAAACATTTCCAAGATGTTTCTAATCAAGTTATATTTTTTTCTGAATTATGTTTGTTTGACTCTAAATATTCAATGGATGTTAATATCGAAAGTCCGGCCATGTAAAAGCTGTGAAGTTTAATCGGTTTTCGGTTTCATTCTGTGCATTTTCGAATATCCAAAGTTGTTACATGGCTGGTGCATTTTCCCTTGCATGTATGTCATCGTGGTACCGGTATACTTTTTATATATCGGTAAAAAATGCCAATATATAAAAGTATACCGTATGCCAAATGTCTGCAATAGTACTTTTTTATACCAAGTCTTATCCTGATTAAGATGTATACAAAACATAAATTAATATCACCGAAATTATCGAAAACACAACGAAATTTATCGCGCTTTTAAAAGGAATATAAATTGATGAAACTCTAAACTGACTTTAAAGTAATAAAGTCCGGTTTTTCAATTGTTGCCAATTGTTGTCTACTATTTTTACCCATTTTTTTAATCTAAGTACTAAAATTTAGTAAACTTGAGTAAGTGTATACTTATACAATTTAGACAAGGAAGAGTTACAGATGCTTGACTATGAAGTTACAAGAAAAAGGGAATATTTCAAGCAGATTAGGTAACCATACAATAGGTAGGGTACACATAATTTATACAAAAGTCAGCTATGTTGATTCAGCAATCGATTACTAGAACGATTCTATAAAAAGTTGTTAGCGTTAACCAATGCCCTACATAGCATCGTGTTCAGTACACGAGATAATATTATGTACTCTACGTTCGTAGACGTTACGTAGCAAGTTAAATTTAGTTCAACATAGTTCCTCCGAACAGTACATCCAAATACACACGTAAGCTTAACTTGATTAAGTTTACAAATACATTCAAATAAATTAAAATCTATTTACATTGAAAAAATTGAGAGACTAGTGTAGTTGCTCTAAGTGTTTGAGCTATCGTTCTATTGTGATGTATGATTGTCCTATCGTCATCGTCAAATCTCTTACTACGTTAAAGTGTTTTATTTAAATAATTCTTTTTCGAAACGTTTCAGAAAAATATTAAAAATTAGTTAACTTATATATAGTATTTGATATTGTGCGCTACTCTCGTAAACTACAGACATTATCACATACTGCTACGGTTTATATAAAAAAGTGAAAGCCCGTTTCCCCCTCGTGGGGCATGGGCGAACACATTTTTGTGTCCGTTTTAACGGGCAAGTAGTTGATCAGACTTCTGTGCCCTGCCTGACCGATACATTTATTTCCCGGGGATTCGAAACCAGGACCTCTAGCGCTCAACGCAATGCTAGGCAATAGGTTTAACCATTTGGCCACACAGGCGGTTAACGGTTTATATAAGCATACTACTAATTCAATAGAAATTTCAAAATTGTAACTATTCACGCCACGCTACACACATTTTGTAGACAAAGGTTTACTTCTTAAATGTTTATTTAATTTAACTCTTCATTGCAACACACACTTACATACAAATGAAACCTTAAAAATTGTCTTATAACAACAGTTAGAGAAAAGATATAGTACAATGAGCGGTCTTATAAAGATATAGAGCAATTTCCTTCAGGCAACTCTAGTTAGAAAACAAAATGTGAGTTTAATAAAGGTTTATTAAACTTTTAAAGCTTTAATATTTCTTCCTCTCTATTTAAACGTGTGCAAAAGAAATTCTCGTTAATTTCCCACATTTCGCCGTCGGCGTTTTCACGATGTGTGGCACGGTAGACAAGGCACGAATACCAACGCTATTTAGTAAAACATCAAAGCACGCCTGAACTAAAACTGTCTCATTGATAGCCGCTCGTAAAGTCGAGTGTTTACAGATTAAAGTATTAGGTGATAACAAACATCTTTTGAAATATGCCTTGCACGATGAAGATATTTCTTATTTTATTACTATTAAGCGTCGAGGTATAATATAAAAACTTAAACCACCATTTAACATTTAAATATTAAAAAAAGAATCTATTTAGGTATTTCAATTCAAAATTATTAACGGTTGATAACGCTAAATGTATTCGTTAACTTAGATTTTAATATTTCAAGTTAAAAAAAAATAACTAATACATTTTGCGCTTCAAAGCGTTTAGAGCGGTTTATTTAAATGTGTCCCACTCGCGATACTACAAATATAAATTACGTTATTTCTATCTAAAGGCGAACTTCTTGAAAATTAATTTTAATGTATTTTTTATTTGGTTCTACAAAACATATTTAATACTCCAAAGTAATCAAACTCCAAATAGTATAAATCAGTTGTGCATAGAGAAATTCGTCTCTCAAACAATTTTCTATTTAAGATCTAACAGTAATTTACAAACTAAACTCACCATCTATATCTTCGTTGTCCAGCATCTGGTCCAGCTCGTTGTCATCATAGCTGTGCACCATTGTGTTGAGGATGGTCCTCACTTTCTCTTTCTCGATCTTGCCTTGTTTACTAGAGTCGAACATGCTGAATGCTCGCCGCAGCACTATGATATATACAAAATAAATCAAAACCAATAATTACCTACTATTCTGTATAAATATATTTTAGAAAGTTTGTGGAGATGGATGTATGAATATTTACCACTCACTTACGCTTAAAACTAAACCAATCTCAAAAAAGGGTTTAAATTAACGTGCAGACATTACGTGCAGACAGTGCATACAGACATTTTACACAAAATGTAATAAAAACACCGACTTTTTTTATTTTTTAAAATATCAAACAGAAAACAAGGACTTGAGAACTTACTTGCAATTTGTTCCTCGTCCAGTTGGTTATTCTGAAACACAGAATCAAATGAAAACACATATAAAATAACAAAACACAATAATATAATAACACACACCATTTCCAAAACTTAATTTCTTTTTCGAAATTATAAAAGTTAAACAATGACAGCGAAATGCGCGGGATGTCAAAATGTTCGCGCGCCGAGACCAACTGGATCGGTTTATCGTTCGCAGCTTACTATAGAATTCCATAAACCACAGGCTAAAAAAAGCCTGCAATCAGATATAATGTATAATACATGTAATACTTAAAGCGTGCTTAAAGAAAAATATATATAACCTCTTTGATAACAAAAAAATAATTTATGCTTAAATTAAAAAAAAACATATTGCATTTTAAATTAACATTGCATTTGCGATTTGAAATGTGCATTTTGTTATTGTATCTTAGCTAATTACATTAATACAATTTACCTATAATATAGTTACATATAAAAACAAAACCTTAGATATAAAAAGTAATTGGAATGACTTACCAATTTAAAAGCGCACTAAAAAGCTATTTTGAAACTTTTTTAAAACGCTATTACCTAAGAACAAAGAGCTTCAAATTATGTTGATTGTTTAATGGATAATGCGACCTCCGCGACTTGGCCGTTCAACACGTTGCCTTGGATTGCGTCAAGCTCATGACACTACATTCGACTCCGTGAAAAAAAAATAAAGCTATCATATAAAATAATATGTATTAAGTGATAAAGTTTTTCCGCCAGGCATATTCTAGTTGCATTACTTTCCTCTAAAAGAATCGACCAGTGAAATGGGATATATCTCTCGGTGTATGGATTTAATCTGGCATTGTATGCGTAATGAACAGGTTCGATTTCCATTGGATCCAACGTGCTTCTAAAAATTAAAAAAAAAAAATGCTTCCTAAAAATGTCGACTGGAAACGTGAAAATCGGATGGTATGAATATTGAAAATCCGTCCGGGTCACAAGACATTTTTCACAGATTATAAAGCCGTGAAGTGTAAATTCACGTTTCAATTTTAGTCTGTGGTTTTCTAGTGTGTAAAGCAAAAATAGGTCGAGAGCGTATTTTGCTTCGATATTATACCAAAAAAAGTATTTTTTATTCTTTAACTTTGAAATTAAAAAAAGATGTATCTGTAATCGACATTATCATTTCTATTTTATTACCCGAGAATACAGGGCAAAACAGATAGTACCATTAATGAGTCAATCTAGCAGTTACTACCCAGAAGTATAGTATACAGGAATCTGTAAAACATTCACACAATAAACGGATTTTTATCACTCACGAGTCTAATTCCAGCAATGCACGCTACGGACGGCGGACTAGCGACATTTTAATTTTATTACCGCTATCAAATCATAAACGTATTTATTATGCACGACATTTAAACAATATGTAGACTCTGGTATTCTCTTCAATTTAATATTATTGTCACAGAGTGCCTAGTTCTCCTCGCCGTTTGTTTCAATGTAAAACAAGTTTCGGTGAAAAAAGGTATATTTAGACCCTAATATTGCCTAAATATATAAACACGAACTAGCTTAATATAGAAATAATTAAAAAATAATGTTTAAATATTCCTTTATGTTTGTTAATTTTAAGGTTTATGATAAGTTAGAAACAGCAGTATTTTAGTTTTTAGATGTTAAAAAAATAAATAAGTTAAAATAGTAAATAAATATAAAAAAGTAGTTTTACAATTCCGTATGTCAAAAAATGTACGTAGAATACACACGGCATTGCCTTTTCTATTTATTATTCGAAAGATCTTTGTTTTTATAGCTTACTCGATTCGATAAACACTCATGATTCCACCTTTAATATAAAGTCTACTAGCTAATTCGGGAGACCTCGTTTTGCCATACAAATTATTTATATTGGGATATCAACTGTAGAAGTAATTAATTAATTATTACGTGCGTGAAAAATAATCGTGATTTGAATAAAAGGATAGTGATAAAAAGTAAATATTTGGGGCTACCTGTATTTTATACGCACTATTATTAAGAAATAATGTTCAATTAAAATAAATTAGAGATAGGCCACTCTATACATAGGGATGTATAAATAGTATGTAGATAATTCCTAGTGAATATGCATTTAAAAAGTATCGAGAATTTTTTTTATATTGCGTTACGTATACAGACCACCCTCGTCTCAGTAAAAATATACCTATGAAAATAGATATAAGTCGCAATGATTTCTGCTATTCGATTTCTTCTTTCTCTTGGGGAATCAACTGAGCGATAACGTTGAGTACCAACTGATATGTAACTTCATCTTATAAGCTAACTGTTGCATTCGGTTTCATCCAAGTTTCAAGAACTCTAAAATACAAAAGTGCACTTTACCTAATTTTTTAATTATATTATTTTGTTGTTTAATATAAATCATTTCTCCCCCATACGTCAGTGTTTAAATTAAAACATAGCATTATATAGATAATTTGTTACTTATAACTTATGTAAGATTTCTACTTGAAGGTTGGAAGGTGCTATGTCCCTAGTGCCTCGGGAATTACGTTAAGCTAATCCTGTTTATCATCACTAATTTTATGGCAATTAAATGTCAGAACACAAACCCACAATATTATAGAGCTAAGCTCTTAAATCCTCGCTCCTGTATCCGGCCCAATTGTGGGACATTAATACAAATGTCAGTGACATGTCACAAATGTCAATGTTATGTCAAAAATCATTTTGCAAAGTTAGATAAACCTCGCCGTTAGTGGAGTAGATCCATCATAAATACATATTATATTTACATCTATTTAAGAATCGCTTACTAAAATGGCGGCGTTCTAACAGAGTACAAGAAACTTGTACAACGATTATGATTCTGGTCATTAAAATTTCGTATATAAAGCAAGTTTAATTAACCTCAGTGGAACGTGACGTTTCTGAGCTTTGAATTAATTAAACGAGTCTCAAGTTTGTCGCAAACATCACTTAAAATGCTTGTCTTGAATTAGATGTGAAGCTTCGGGTATGACAATGATAAACTTAAGAATGATGCAAAATTGCATAATAAACGGCGTTGGCTCTTTCAAAATGGCTGATGCATGACCTACAGTAATAGTGTTCAATTTTAATTCTCAGTCAATTTAAGGTGAAAGACATAAGATACATCATATTCTAGTATTTTCCAATGGTATAAAAAAATCTGGATATTCAATGAATGCGAATGTTGAAACTCGCTCCGGGTCACTAACTACTAACTACAGATAAATACGCGCCGCGGGTGACTCAGTATTTCATATATCACCGACGAATAGTGCTCGACGCCGAGAAACAAGTGCTGTAACATTGACTTGAAAGTGCCAATGTTCCTAAGAAAAAAAATACTTCACAAGCAAGTCTAATGTTTAATTTTTATGCATTACAGCTGATTTCTATTGTAAGAAACTGTTTAAACCACTATACGTTAAAACCTAATAAAACGGACACAAAGATTTGACGAATGCTCGCGTTTTGAAGCCAATAAAAACACAGGAATTCGAGGTAACGATTATTCTTGAAACTATAAAACTGTGGTTCGCCAGGGGATTCATAGACAATAAAATGTGTGATACGTTACGCATCTTTAATAAGATACTGGCGGAAAGTATTATGTAAAAAAAACAAATTACACTATGAAACAAATTTTCCATAGACACACAGATTAAAAGTCTTACTCCGATTAAAATTAATAAAATTAATTACAAATTAAATTACACAAGAGATGTACACGAATATTAAATTTGAAATAAGCATTGTATTCATTACACAAACAAATTAATAATTCTTAAACTTATTTTTGAATAAGGTATTAGGGTGTATCTTTTATTGTTTTTAAAAAGTGAAAAGTCTAGGTTTTACTACAATAGTAAATATTTTATATTACGTATTAAAATCAAAAAGACATCACAGATAAAATACTCATATTACTATTATAACATATTAAAATAACTAGTACTAGAGGAAACAATTAATTCCTTTTTGATGTCCATTTCCGGTCTGAGCCATTATGGACAGTGGAAATTCCCTTTATCTGTACATGCCTGCAGATACTCAAGGGACCTTTACTACAGATAGCATTCAAATTGTAAAATCCTTTTATAACGCGGAGCGTGTTCAGGAAATTGTCCAGAAAACGATATTCAACTCCACTCATGTGTGATACATTCTTCTGGGATCGAATTCAAAGCATAATACATTCACTAAATAAACTAGGTATTGAATTGAACATTTCTTTGCAGGCTAGAAACAAACCAGCAGATGGCGGTGGACACGTAAATCAGAAGAATGCTGCAGGACAAAAGGCCACACCGGCTGGACAGAAGGGTAATTATCTCCCCTTATAGACTAAAAACTTTATTTAAAATATTCTTAATAATACAACTTATACGTTAGGGAGTGCAATGGGCCTTCTAGAGGGATCTCTTCCTGGCTTGAATAAAATAAGATATGTCATAGGAACATGCAGATCATGGAAAGCTTAACAATACACGAACATATTTATACACACACAAATTGAAAAACTCGACTTAGGACAAACACGTATAAGAGGCAGAGGGGCCTAATAACAAAAAACATGATTTTCAATAATGAGGAAAATAAAAATGCGCAATTAACTTAACTGCGAAAATAAAGTTGTACTATTATTTGTGTAAAAATTATGTTAAATACTATCTATAGTTCACGCGAGTAGTACACATTCAAATAAAACACTTTAACGGGGAAACCGTGACCACGGCTGCTGCAAAGCGTCCGAAACGTCGGGCCGAAGTTAAAAATCATTTTCAAATAAGTCTAACGAATATATCGCGTTTTAAACTGTTAAAGTGTTTTATTTAAAAACTATGTTAACAATTTCCAGTAACTGTGCTCTTGTAGATCAACATTTTTAAACTAAATATATAAATAAGAATACAAAAAAGTCATCATAAAACTGCAGTTAGGCTACTCTGTCTTTAGCGTAGTAAACATATTTCAAATGATTGATTTTATTTAGTTGAGTTGAATTCTGAACTAATTTATTAATGTATTGGAATCCAGAACCTCTCGCGCTTAATGCAATGAACATTGATGGAGCAGACAAAACCAGAACATTTAGTATACATTACTTTTGTTTCTTAAAACAGGTGCAGCGACGAAAGGTGGGCCAAAAACCCCAGTGAAACCCTCAGCACAAAAAGGATCAGTGAAAACTGCACCACCAAAGCAGGCAGCAGCAGCAGCAGTAAAGACACCGCAAGGCAAGAAGAAAAAGGGCCATAAACATCAGCAATATGAACTTATCGTCACTATTAATTTGGTAAGCTAGCCTAATAGGTAAACACTATAATAAATATACTGCGTATTAAACCGTTTAGAGTGTTTTAACGGATTTGATGATTTTCGTTATTGTTACGTGCTCATTGATCCAATGGGAGTATTATATGGCTAATAATAAATGGGATATTTGGTTCGATTCTTACCAAGTCCAATGTATCCTAAAACCAATTTATAATTTTTCTAAGACATTGGCTAGGCTTAGACTGGAGACCTGGAAAAAACCTAAAAAATATCGAAATTCCGACTGGATTATATTCTATATTGCAGTCAGAAAATTCGTGAAGTATAATCGCGATATAATCTCAGTCCGTGGACTCCGAATATCAAAAGCAAAAATAGGTCGACAGTGCATTTCGTAGAGATGTTACATGGCTGGCCTATTCCATGTTCCATCAAGTGAACCACATGTGTGTCTACCTCCTTTGACTTGAAAAAAAGTCTGTGGACTCCGAATGTTCAAAGTCTAAATAGGTCGACAACGCATTTGGTTCAGATGTTATAAGGCTGTAATGTTTAAATTTCGAGCAAGTAAAAGTTTTGATCAATTCATATGTTCCCTACATTGTCGCTTTACTAAGTCAATCCAATAAAACAATCTTCTCTGAAAAGATTGTTGTCTATATAAAATGTCACATAAAAGCTAGCCTTCAGGGCACACTCATACATTACAACCTCATACGGTCTTTGAGTCTTAGAATATCGTTAATCTTTATTACAAAGAGATTTACTAAATTTGATACTTGTATATTATCTTTATTCGTCGTCCAGTTTTAGTAATAAAGCTAGGATTTTAATACATCAATTACTAAGCTGAAATTGATAACACAAATGCCAATGGTAAATGTCTAAACTAAAATTTGACTGACTCGTTGGTCCAATGCTTGCAAAGTAAGGTAAACAGGTCACGAGTTCGATCCCCACAGGGTGCAAAACATTATTTTCTTTTTTTATTTCAACATGTTTATCAATTTAACATATTTCCGAAACACGTCGGTCTAGTAATATCAAAATTTTGTCAGAGTTATGTAACATTGTCCGCAGGTGAAGTTTTATCGCGTTGTCCGTATTGCCGAATTTCCAAAGCTAAAATGGATTTTAAACATTAATGTTCCGCGATAAGCGCGCGAGGTTCTTGATTCGAATCCCGGGAATACATTATAGTTTTAGCGAGGTCCAAAATAAAATATATAAATAAAATCAATTAGTGAAACAAACAGATATTCTAAAAACGAGATTTTTGGAAACACTACTACTACAAATACTAATCGATATATAATTTAATGGGCCTGGCTCGAACCGGCACCCACAGCGATTCGTGCTACTGGTCAAAGCAATTGAGCTACCGTATCGCACGCCTCATCTTTTATTGTACTATATTTAACTGCTTTATACACACATGATAGAAATCTACATTTAAAAACCTTTTGTTAAAAATTCAAGATTTTCACCCGATAAACAAGTGCTTTACATATTTTTTTTATTTTTAAACCTAGTTATAACCGGCTATAAGAAAACAGAAATAGGCGTTCTAAAAATCAGCTGTTACGGCGTCCCTTTGAAATGGAGCGTTTTATGTAGACGCTGGGGCTATAAACGTAGACCCTCATACTGACAGGCTTATTCTGGGAAGAAGAGCCGACAATAAAATGAAACGTTTAATAAAAAGATAGATTTTTACATGTTATTGCACATGAAGGCATTATATAATTTAAAAATCGAAAATAAATTGAATTTCTTTTTTCAATTGATTTTCTATTTTTAAATTAAGATAGGAGTTGTATGAATAATATATGATTTAATAGTTATAGTAGTCTTCATTTTTACATTACATTATGATTTCTTTGAAAAAAAAAATACTTTATTATTATAAAATCAATTTAGATTCCTCAAAAAAAAAAAATGTTAGTTTGTCCGTTCGTCGTGATTCTACAGAGTGTTCAAAAGAGCAACATAACCGAGAAGAACACCCAAGAAACTCAGTCTGGCTTTTTTCAACATGTCTTACATACTAATACATTTTTGTGAATACAATACGACTAAGGAGCAATTCAATGACTGCCAGGCAGCCCTTCATTAAAGAAGTATTTTAAAGAATAATTCGCCTTTTGAGGCAATCTAAATTTTATGACGTTTTTGAACTTATTTATTGATAAATTTGAAACCACAACTGGCTTGTATTATATTGGATGTATTATACATAAGAATAAAATTCCCCGCAACTAATATATTTTGGCCTATATTCTGGATATCTAGCTTATCCTTATTGAGGAATTTTATACATAAGTATAATTCATAAATTCCGAATATCCATTGCAAAATAGGTCGACAGCGCAATTGTATGATTAGATGTATTTTTACCCACCATCACGTGAATCCCATGCTTTTCTATCGTCCTCTATCATAAAAAATATGCCTATCGTTTATAAATCTAATTCGGGTTCAATTTAAACTAGGAAAGTTTAATTTCCCAGAATAAGCCCGTCGCTATGACGACGACTAAGACACGTCGGCGTCGAGGTGTGAACAACTAACAAGCTGGCATTTTCATTAAATCACTCAATTTAACGGTGTTGCCTGTTTTTATTAGAATATGTCACTTCGTACAAAGTGTCCTACTGTTATTCTAATTTTACTGCTGGTATATTGAAGCGTTACTAGGTCAAGGTTGGAGTTTTTTTTTTCAATATTTTTGAAGCAATTTAAAGACTACTTTACTAGATTTTCTTTTACCTTAATATTTTTATCCAACGCTTAATGTATCAAAGTAGTTATTAAATTTTCGCACATAATTATTTTGCAAAATCTTTATTTCGTTCCTTCGCGCCAAAGTCTCATCCAAAATTTCGTTTTTGTGCCAAGATTACGAAAACATACGTGTTTTACTGAGCAATTTTGATTACCTACGTATTCCAAACCTGAAAAAACAGATTATGGCAGACATTTTACTATATCTGTTTCATTTATCAATGTATTTATAGGCAATGGTGTTATCCCGGGACTGCAACCCGACTTCTCGTGTTTCTCTCTACTGCAGTTTAACCTTTTAGCCACGAAGATAATATTAGATGTACCTACATTGGAGATAGTGTATTAGTATTTTTGTGTTAATTGATATACATACACAATTTTATTCCGATTTTGTTTGTCGCGGACTTGACAGACAGACAAATCAATGATTTAGATAAAATTATATCATAATCATTGCATAATTACGCGCCAATTATAGAACGCCTCACGTTGTCAGCACAGCGCAAAAATCCAATTTAAATTTAGAATCTACACGGAGCTGTCATTCTAACGTCGCGCGTGTCACTGGCGACCTTTAGTAGCCCACAAAAAAATAATACATCAATAAAAAAGTGAACTGTCATTGCGAAAGTGCCGTTTTACAAAGTGGCGGGAAATTTTAATGAACTGGAATTGAAATTAAAGTGCCTTTCGTTGCGGAGGAGTAATTAAAAAGTCAACAAAGCATGAAATTGTGAAAACTAAAGCTTAAGTCGCAATTTTGCTGGCGTTTCGAGGGTTATTTGTGCTTTTTCGAATTTAAAGTTTGATTTGTTTTAATATTATGCTGGTTTGAACAGCTGCGTGTTCGTTTTTGAATTTACAATAAATATAATATTTAAAAGAACACTGCGATTATCAGTTCAAAACTAAAATAAAGATATTATGTATACATTTCCTCATGTCTCTAAAAATACATATGTACCAATGGATATGGTGAAACTTTCCAGTGGATATTGGAAAAAGTTTTGCAAAGTTTGGAGCTGGTAAAAATTGTTGTGTCGTAAACTGTACTATGTATTACGAAGATGGCGGAGAAAAAAGACGAGATTTATAGCAAGGAATATCGAAGAATTCGTAGATTCACTTCTGATTTGGCTACGAGACAATTTTCAGTACGTACTTTTTGTTAATTATTATAAAACTTTGGAAGCTTACTTTTTACAGCAAGTAGATAAATTATTTTGTGATAACAATAAATTTTCTTATCATGACTCACGTAAAAAAAGATATATTTAAAAAAAATAATATAAATTTAATCTGTATTAGGTTCTTGTTTCTGACTAATAGTTTTATTTGTCTACATGAGAGCTTATTTAGAGCTTCGTATAAGCTACTATAATTACTAATATAAAGCAGAATATCAAATCTAATTACAGATTCAAAACCTGTCTTCATTTGTCTCTATGATAAGTGTTTTCGCCTTGTTAAAATTATCTCCCAATAATATCTCTTTTATTTTGAATTGTGTTTAAAATATGAAGATTGATAATGGACAAAAACAATTTTACCTAAATAAATAGGGAATTGATTTTAAAATATGTACTTTTTATTATTGCAGTCAGAATACGGGCTTACGGAGGAACAGGTTGCAGGTGTGTATACTTACAGCTACGAATTTTTGACATAATTATTTATTTAATTTTTTTAACACTCACAAATAATAAAATTCATAAACAATTTATTGTGAAGAAGTACAACATTGTAAACGTTGTGAGTGCCTATTATAGGTTGAATCTGTGTTACGAGTCACCAGCCCCCTGCGCCGCAATCTAATAATATATGTAAACTGTATTTGTTTTAAATTTTAGTGGTAAGACCACATAACTAATCAAATTTCAGTATCAATTAACGCGTAGAAATAGTACTTGAAATATTATAGGTACGCGTTAATAGACTGTATGCTTTACCAATTAGGACTAAGCTGGCATAGTTCCATTAAAATACAGGTCACACAAAAAACAGTAATTCAGAATTTCAAACTTACGATGATATGTTGCTCATCCTTAGTTATTCGTTCAACCTATAAATGTTTCGCTTGGTTAATTTTACCCGGGGTCAAAACTCTTAGACCTCGTATTTCCGTGTTGCTAGTGTCAGAATCGGTGTGCTTCGTTTTTCAGAGTTCAAAGAAGCATTCATGCTGTTCGATAAAGATGAAGATGGAACCATCACCATGGCTGAACTTGGTGTGGTCATGCGATCCTTAGGACAGAGGCCTTCAGGTAAATACTTAGGATATGTGGGACATGCGACCGATGCCTTACTAGCCATTTCATTAGACGATTTTTTATAGGCATGTAGTTAATTAGATGTCTATACCCTGTGTGACAGTTGGATTGGATGTTGGATGGATTGTGTGGATTGGAACCTAGGATCACTCGAGTTTAACGACAGCTCAGACATAGAGCTCAATCATGAAGTGGTATCAAAATAGTACTGTTATATATATCACGTAATAATTATTTATTTGTCGTGGTTCGATATTTTTACATGATAAAAATTGCTTACAAATAGTAAATAACGCTTAATTAGCAGAACAAATAATTTAGATTATCGTAGATTTGAGTACTGCCTGTGACATAAACTATTGTCTTTTAAAAAGTGATTATAAATTGAAAAAAAATTACGTCTCGGGCAGGACTTGAACCGGCATCCACAGCGTTACGTGCTGTTGCTCTAAGCAATTGAGCTACCGAGTCATACACGTCATCTTTTTTCTAACCTATTGTATAATAGTTACTCACCGTTAAAAGTGGTTTATTTGAACACTCGTAAACTATAGTACAATACTACATGACTATTGCGATAATCCTCTCAAGCAATTCAATCACATACATAAATACATTAGCAGCTATAAGGGAATTGGGTGCTAAATGAATAAATGAATAAATGAATAGGCATAGACGTTTCAATTTTCGACCAACGATGAATGTGTTTCATGAATTTTTACTGCAGCAACGACCAGTTTATCTTGAGCTCTTCATTTTGATGGCTTACTGGGCGCAAGATTAAATGCTGGCAATAAAAACGAGCACAGCTTAGTGGATATTAGAGGCATATATGAGTAGTTTTTATAACATAAGGTAGCTTATATTGTCTTGGTTGTATCTGGTGGGTTTTTCAACAGATTCGGGTAAATTTTCACATTCAAGTAATTGATTTCACACTTTGTTATGCACATACCTGTAGCTATATGGTTAAAGTTACCTATTAATTGCATTAAGCGTGAGAGATCCTAGGGTTTGAATCCCCGGGAAACATTAAATTGTTTTGGTTAGTTGTTTTGGTAGGGCACAAAAGTCGAAAATAATTTTTAGTTTTTATTGTTTACTTTATTAAAGATTTATGTTGTGTTAGTATTTGATATCCTTGTAAGTTAAAATGTATTGCGTCGTTTCTCCCATTCTCGTTGACTTTTACTCTTTTATTGTTGATTTGTTTTTCTTTTCTGCATACAAAGACTGCCGGAATCAAATCTTCGTAGGTGATAAGAGCGCCTTTATATTAACTCTTTAATGTAAATAACTTATTTAGTAATTTGTATTTTATTTGTTTGTGCAATAAAGGATTATATTTTTATCATCGAATACTCGTCGGTATCGATATGTGTTCGTCTCATGCCATATGGGATAAAAGGAAATTTTACTTTTAAAGTAATAAAATACACGATAGTTTCACTTATAACAAATATCTCTTAATCGTAAAATAAGAATTATTAAATGTTAAATATGGACAGCGTAAAAAACTATATATATTTGTTTCTTCTTCATATAGTTAACGCACTTTTGTATGCTTTGTTTTACCCTATGGCCAAGTTATATTGGTCGTTTAAAACACAGCGTGGAGGTCGGAATGCCCAAAACAAAATTAACTTGTCTTTGTTCTTGTCTTTGGAATTAGATGTCGCCAAACCAGGTTATTTATTAGGTGTTTTTGTTGTAACGTAAATTACAACCTAATGGTCGTAGTTTACTTATGATAATTATAAGTAATGTAAATACAACATACATTTGACGTTAATTGTATTGTAAATTTATTTGAAAACGTACTTTTTTCTTTTATTTGTATATCTTATTGTTTTATTTGTGATTGACTTTTGATATCATTTAAACATTAAATATCTTGAATATCAATGAAAAAACAGCATACCGGTAAACGAGACGTCAGCAGCCGTGGTCTCCCCGTGACCACGGCTGCTGCAAAGCATCCGAAACGTCGGGCCGAAGTTAAAAATCATTTTCAAATAAGTTTAACTAATATATCGCGTTTTAAACCGTTAAAGTGTTTTATTTAAATCTCTTAAACCATTTCAAAACTATGTACGGCCAATATTAACAACGACTAAGCGAAAAATTTCGACAATTTAAATAAGATACCTAGAGAAGTAATTTCTTGAAACATTTCTACTCACCGAGTCTATATTAGTATATAAAGCTGAAGAGTTTTTGGGAATTGGAAAATTATTTCACCATCGTTAATGTTTCAGAGACTGAGTTACGAGACATGGTAAAGGAGGTGGACCAAGATGGAAACGGGACCATCGAATTCAACGAGTTCCTTCAGATGATGTCGAAGAAGATGAGAGGGGCTGACGGAGAAGACGAGCTTAGAGAAGCATTTAGGTAAGACCCACATTAGAAGGCTCTTGTACACTTTTTATGTTATAGTGGAAAAAAATCAAACAAATCTTTTTAGCTTGTTTGTTCGAACGAGCTTATTGCAGAAACTAGTGGATCAAATTGAAAATTAATTTTTGTGTTCGATAGTTCATGTACCGAGAAAGGTAATGGTAGGTAGGTCTTTAAAAAATTGCTACGCCGGTAGGCTGCTAGATGGCGCTAGCGTAGCAATTTTTTGCTTTGACGTCAGAGACATCCTCCATCTTTAGTCTCCCCGTGACCACGGCTGCTGCAAAGCATCCGAAACGTCGGGCCGAAGTTAAAAATCATTTTCAAATAAGTTTAATTAATATATCGCGTTTTAAACCGTTAAAGTGTTTTATTTAAATGTGTACTACTCGCGTAGACTATAGACAGTATGGCTTCATATGGTTTCAATGTTTCTAATCAATTTATGATTTGCTGTACATAGTCTTCGCCTGGAAATCTAGATCTAGATCGTAGAAACATCGAAATTCCGTCCGAGCTACGTAACACTGACCACAGATGAAAATGCCGTTAAGTTTAATCGCAATTCGATTCCAGTCTGTGGATTTTCGAATATCTAAAGCCAAACAAAACAAAGCGACAGTGCATCTTCATTTAGATGGTCAACTAGTTCACTATTTGTCTTAACCCGATTTCAGGGTATTTGACAAAAACAACGACGGGTTGATATCATCTGTTGAACTGAGACACGTGATGACGAACCTTGGAGAGCGGCTGAGCGAAGAGGAGGTGGACGATATGATCCGGGAGGCCGATTTGGATGGAGACGGCATGGTCAATTACGATGGTAAGGTCACCGATACGAGGGTAATAGTATCTACCACTGTCGCTCTTGTGGTACAATTGTTCTTTTTTCAAATTTCGTAATATTCGCATTTTTTTTTTCGATGTCGCGTCCGCAATATTTGTTTGAATTATTTGAAGGAACACGACGAGCGAGAAAGTATCTGGGTTCGAATCCTGAGGAAAGTTGATAAACAGTTTTTGCCAGGCAGTGTAAGACAGTCAGATCATTAACTTGCAACGTACACACTTATATGTCTATCTCGTTCTACGAAACGGGATCTCACATAATCGTCTCTTTTCAGAATTTGTGACAATATTGACGTCGAAAAACTAGTATGCAGATAAACCTAAGAGAGATCTGCCCCCTCCCGCGAAGCCCCACCCCCACGGGGCCCTCTCCCAAATGGGGGGGAAAGAAACTCTTATCTAGTTCGTACAGTGCGAACAGTGATGTGACTTTTATAATCATCGTGTTTGAATGTAGTTGGTCGATTCGAGTGTTTTTTGGTATGGAAAAGTTTAATAAAAATTTACAACAGATAGACTGTTAACTTTTTGTACTTATAGATACGTTAATTTCTTTTAATGGGCTGGTAAATTAAATGGCTAAAAAACATGTGTCCTAAGTTCGATTTCCACCAAGTCCATTGTGTTTCTAAAACATTTTAGAGCTCGTCTGGAAAATCTGGACGTTAAATGAGTTATAGGAATATCTAAATTCCGTCCGGGTTACAAATCACCGTCCACGGGTGGAACACCTGTGAAGTTTATTCACGTTTCGGTTATAATCTGTGGGTTGGTCCAATTAAATAGGTCGATATCGCATCTCGTTTCGCTGTTATGTGGCTGAGATTTTTCCCTTTTTATCAAGTGAAATGCTTGTCATAACAAGAAAAAACTTAATTAGTACTTGTGGGGGTAACAGATTAATAACAAATATGGTTAAAGTACGAGTTAGATTGACCGCCTCTGTAGTCAAATTCGAAGGTTCGAATCCCAAGAAAACTATTTTTTTTTCGGTCAGACAGGGCACAGAAGTCCCATCAACTACTTGCCTGGTGGTAACGGATCAGTGAAACGGACACAGAAATATGTTCGCCCCATACCCCACGAGGGGGAAACAGGATTTCACTCACTCACAAACGAGTTAGATTAATCTGAGTAAAGAAAAAACTAGATTCATCGTAAATAACAATTTAAACGCCTTCAAAATTAAAATAGCAATGTGGGAGATTGTTGTTTTAATATTTAACGAGGCGTAAAAACATTGAAGAGAATGTGTTTTATATAGCATTGAATTTGAAAACGTAATGCAAATCATTTTTAATTTCAACTTGTTGAACGGTATTGCGTTTGACATACCAAAAGACACGAACCGATCTAGAGATATATACATAGAAGTGTGTTTGTAGCTAGTATGTTTTGTACAGTCGGCTTCAAAATCAATCACTATACATCATATTTTTATAACCAAAATTACATTTTTATTTCCTTCAGTTATTTTTTACTATCGTAAAAATGTAGACGACTGTACAAAAATCGCTTAGAATGTGTGCAAGCTATAATATTAAGTTAGTCTTATAAGAAAGTGTTCAAATAAATTAATAAAGAATTAATAATAAGCATTTTCTTTCTTATATGACGAGGCGGAGTGTTTTATATGTCACAATATCGTCTTTTTAAAACATTTAAATGAAAGACTTTTAGATAAATAGAACAGTTTAAACGATTTAAAACACGAAATAAATTAGTAATTATTCGTTATAACGCTAAGTTTTATTTGACTACTGTTAAACATTCAAAATACCAGAGTAGTTTTAAAATTTGACGATTAATAACGCGTTTTAAACAGTTGTATTGTGCCACTCGTGCATACTACAGACCAATCTTTAGATATATGGTGTAACCATTTTAAATGGTACCAAGACTTATGAATCAAGTTCAAAACTTGCAACTGTTGAAAAAATAGGCAACAAGTTTTGTTGGAAATTGAACAACAGAGCACGGTACACTGTAATCGTGGGTTCATAAGAATTATTTTAATCAATAATTGAGGCTGCTTGCTAGAGGCAGAGTGGCCTAATAACATAAAATGTGATATTCAGTAAGTTCAGTAAAAATGCGCAATTAACTAAGGCGAAAATGAATTTATTCATTATTTGTGTAAAAAATATTTTAAAATTTTTTGATAACTGTGCTCTTATACATGTCTTGTAATAAAGTAATCGGACTATAGAAATATATATATACACCTCGAGTCATTGAAATTGCCGTCAGGCTACTCTGGGTCTAGCCATCTCAATTCATTTAGAAAGAACACAAGCATTTTATTAACATGTGAATATTATATTTCAAAATTAACATTTATTAAAAGTCTTTCATTTAAAATACTTCACTTGCGTACATACACGCTAACTTCCATGACACATGCTGTACATAAGCTACATTTTACGCCTAAATTTGTTTCTAGATCTATGTGTACTTTTAAATTTGGTTCATAAAAGAAATTTATAATCTGTGAAAAATACAGATTATACAAAAGATAACATTATTATTCATATTGGGTCAAAAACGATCGTGAGGTGTTACAAATTAGAAGGTTGTATATTTATGTGACTCTAACTTTAAGGTTGACACTGGTTTTAAACGAAATTAAATGAATTGAAACCCAATCTAATTATGTATGTATATTTTTATTGAGTATGGTAACTTTTATTATAATGAAATTTAATAAAAATGACAAGAGCAATACTCACATGTTTTAAACTGTTAAATTAGTGTAAACATGTCCAATGGCAAAATGTATAAAAATTAATATTTATATTATGTTACACAAATATATTTCCCAATACAAATATTGTATCTCTTTACACTTAAGTAAAACAGTGTGTATTCAGGAAAGTAAGAAATGTATTTTAAAATATTATCTTTCATACCTTCTTTTAAATTGTGAGAAAGAAAGAAATTATTTTTATAAAGTCTTCCGATGGTTGACTGATTGAATTGGCCAAAAGTTCATTAGGGTTTCAAGATTTGTATAGTGGTGAGGTACAGTTATGTGTTGTATATTTTAATGAAATAGGGTAATTTTTACTATTGCAAAGTTTAAATGAACTCGAGCGAAAGTATAATTAGCGTAATTTTTAAAAAATTGTGAAATCAATGGAATGGAAGATTATGGACTATTTACTAATTGCGAATACAATGAGTTTTTTGTGCTTTCTATCTGTTCGGCCATCGCAATTGAGGATTTTTCGGAACGCGCGACATCACTTGATAATTTAAATAAAACACTTTTGGGGTTAAAACCGCGTTGTTTTTTTTAAACTTTTTTGGAAATTTTTTTCCCCCCCCCCCCGCCGTTTCCCCTCCCCCCCCCCGCGCCGCCCCCCCCCCGCCCCGGCGGGCGGGTTTTTTTTTTTTTTCCTTTTTTTTTTTTTTTTTTTTGTTTTAAACCGTTAAAGTGTTTTATTTAAATGTGTATACTCGCATAAACTATAGACAGTATCACCCGATAATGTCGTAACGTCGAAAACAAAATCTCAATTACGACGGTCTAAGAGTTAAAACCCTAGAAGGTTTAAAAAATGGCCGTGAAAGCTTTATTTTATAAAAACTAAGTTGTTCAGTTACAAGAAGATCCTTCAACGTTAAAAAAAAATTATTGGAATCTGAAATTCAAACTCCAAATAGATTAATAGCCCAACATAAAATGAGGTCCCTAAGGGGTGGAGGGGGAAGGACTCATGAATTATCTCCTCTTTCTGTTTTGCGAATATAATATACGGAAAAATATCGTTGAAGCCCCAAAAGGAGGCTTACGAAAATCTACAAAATAAGGCATAAATGCGAAAGAATTAATTAAGAGTTTTATCTAGTCAAATGATAGGAGTGGAATATTTGGGTACGTCTTAGTCGTTTATTTAAAAAACTGTATTTATCATATTTTGTTGATCACTCACAAAAAAACCTAATCAACAAAAAGTAATGATTCTAGGATACTTCATATCATTGTTTTTCGGGTTGTTCGAGCAATTGAAGCTGCCGTCCGTTCGTGATGGCGAAACGTCGAGAACCTCTTCTCGCTCACGTCGGCCGAACGGCCCGAAAAACAATGGCATGCTGAACGATGGCCATGAAAGCCTTTTACCATTCATTTATACTTATTGATTTTATCATTAATGAATCCTAAAATCATTATCATCAACTAACCTAATCTATATCTATACTAATATATAAAGCTGAAGAGTTTGTTTGTTTAAATGCGCTTACCTCAGGAACTACGGATTCGAATTGAAAAAATATGTTGGTGTTGGTTAGAAATTATCAAAAGGATAAAAGTTTTCATCAATATGGGTTTCCGAGGCGTACGCTGCAAAAACGGTTAAATATACTCCAAAAATATGTATGAAAGAATAATTCCTCTTTAAATGATCTAAAAAAAACTACCGCGACACATCCATACATCCACGACGCTATATGTCTATCTTTTAAGATTAACTCGCAAGAACGACGGGATGGGACGCAGCCGACGTCGCCGGTAAGCTTAAGTTCATAAAGATGTGGATACTCAATACCGATTCTCGCGGACGTACTCGCTGGCACAGCTAGTGTGTAATATTAGACCAGCGGTTTTGTAAATAGCGTCGAAATATATATAATGTTGTAATGATAATATTTTACATAGACGTGTTTAGTAGACGATATAGAGGAAGGAAAGTATCTTTAGTATCAGACAGCTTGAAACGCGAGGGCTTCCTTTCGGGTTAAAAATATTATTATTATATACTTGCTAAAAGGATTCTGGGCGTCCATGTAATGCTTCTAAGAGAGTTATACATATTATGTTATTATATAAAACACATTTTAACCGTTTTAAACGCGATCTGTAGTTATATTTAATAACAGTTTTAAATTGAGAAAAGCTTGTAAACTTTAATATTATTGACATGTCATCATCACTTCACATGATGATACAATATACTTTATAAATTGAAAAGAGGTACAACTCGGGCAGTTGGAGATATAGCACGGAACGCTGTGGACGCCGGTTCGACTCCTGTCTGAGTCGTAAAAATTTTCAATTTATAATTGATTTTATTTATGGTTTAAGCTGCCGGGGAAGATGGAAAATATCAGATAAGTCGTTAGTTTTAAATTAGTTTAATGGGTTAGAGTTTACAACAGTTAAAATGTGTTTTATTTTATGTGTAGCATTAATGTTTATTACAGATATGACCCAACGCAAGTAACACAATTAATGCTACAAAAGTAAGTAATACTTGGATGTATTAAAATCTCGTACTATATTTTATGATTGACAATAAAATGATT